GGGGTAAAAATCTGTTCATATTAATTCCCTAATAAGCATAATAATTCATAATTTTTTGGTTTTTTGGTTCTAATCACATTTCAATTAAACTTGGAGACATAGATTTTCTGTTACATTGCGCAGACCTCATTAGTTTTACACTCAAATCTGGTCATACCGGTATTAATTTTCTGATTTGCATAATTAGTTTTCAGCTAAGTAATTTCAAATTATATTTAATGTGTCTCCAATACTCTCAGCACATGGGAGTTCTTTCTAAGCTTTCTTTGATCTAATTTTGGTTAATATTTTTGTCATTTTTGGTAAAAAGTGATATTTTCGACTTTTTGTTAAAAACCTCAAGTCCAATTGCTTTGATATTACATATATAGGTACTACATGTGGACCACTCTCAGATTTGTTCATTTTGTAATGATATCGTCAATTCTCTAATTTTGGTGAATATTTTTGTCATTTTTGGTAAAAAGTGATATTTTTGACTTCTTGTTAAAAACCGCAAGTCCAATTGCTTTGATATTACATATATAGGTACTACATGTGGACCTCTCTCAGATTTGTTCATTTCATAATGATATCTACAATTCTCTAATTTTGATGAATATTTTTGTAATTTTTGGTAAAAAAGTGATATTTTCGACTTCTTGTTGAAAACCGCAAGTCCAATTGCTTTGATATATTATACATATAGGTACTACATGTGGACCTCTCTCAGATTTGTTCATTTTCTAATGATATCTTCTGTTCTTTAATTGCCATGTGCATTGCTAACAGCGGAGCTATCTAAGCCGACAGGCTGCTTGTTTGTGAGAAAAATTAGAGCATGCAAATAAATAAATCTAGCATATTTGGTAAAAATTGTTTTTTTCCCCTCTAATAGACATTCCTATGGAGCTCAACCGTTAGGGCTTGCTGACAGATATGTTAATTGTCCAGACATTTTGGAAAGTCCCAATGTACTAACCCTTCAAGTCACTCCAACACCGTATGTACTACAGACAAAGAAGACCCGTTTGAGTCCACTAAATGAAATATACATGCCGACCACTGTCAACCAGGTTAGTATCAAATTAGAGGGCGCTTTAACATGTCATAGCCATAATTTGCATAGAATTTTGTTTTGCAGATGCTTTTGTTTTCCCTAATTATATATAGGCTATTGAAAAAAATTAAAGATGTTTTACCACAAACATTTTTGTTGTAACATGCTTCATAATTATCCTCAAGCTATTCTGACAATTAAATTTATTTTTTTTATTTAATTTTGCTTGCTATTTTAACCTCCTCTGGATTTAACCCCCAAAAATATCTGCTCTTCGCTTCTGATTTTCAGCAACATCAAAATTTGCACGCTGCCAAAAAGTTTTCACTGGATAATTCTGCAGAACAAGATTTTTTTGGACCTATTTTTCGTTGTCTGGTTTCTCTGCAGATGACAAATGTACCACCACCAGAAAAGGTTTACTTTGGTCTCCATGACTACATCAAAACAACTGAATGGACTGGTCGACTGCCGTTACTTCGCTATGATGATGATTTTGAAAATGCTGCCAATGCCTTGCTTGCTTCGTAAGTAATTTTTGTTTACTTATTTTTATATGAAATAAAATAATAGCTACATTTGTATTGTAAACCAGAAATAAGTGCATTTACAACTTTCTTCAAAAAGAGAATAATTTTGTGTGTGGTTTATATCAAATGGTTTAAAATAAGTATGATGAACATATGCATGACCCAATTTGCATAACTCATAGCCTGATTTGCATAATCCACAATCTAATGTGCATAGTCTGCACTCCAATTCGCTGAACCATTATGCATAAACGAGACCAATTTGCCTAATCCATAGCAATTAGTTTTCATAATTCATGACCTGATTTGCATAATTCACAACCTGATCTGCATAACTCACAACCTGATCTGCATAACTCACAATCTAATTTGCATAACCCACACTCTAATTAGCATAACTCGCAATCTAATTTGCACAACTCACAATCTAATTTGCACAACTCACAATCTAATTTGCATAATTCACAATCTAATTTGCATAATTCACAATCTAATTTGCATAATTCACAGCCAGATTTGCATAATTTATCTTTATAAGGTTGATTTCAACATATACCGTCCTTGTAGTCCATCTCCATATTTGTACTTGTTTCCAGATTTGATTAATTCTAAAGTCATCCTGTTTAAGTTAGTAAATGTTAAGAATGCATTGTTTTTTTTTTAGACAAATGCATTGCAAAATTGTAGTAGTTATTTTACACAACTCTTTGTTTGATGGATGTCGATAGATGCCCATTTATTTTTACTATGTATTTTTTCTACCTTGCCTGTATGATAATGAACTGGAAAGGTATAGTGTTTACCATGTCTGTCATAATGGTGTGGATTTGTATTATTGAAAATATGAAGATATGACATTTAATTTTTTATTTAGACTGAAAGGTCTTTCTGTTTGTCGGGGTTTCTATGGAGTTTGGAATGTACTGAAATCTCCAAAATCACATTGCTAGGCTTTGAAAAATCCACCAGCTTTTTGAATATAATAAAAGGCAATTTTTCTTTGCTTTAAAGAAATGCAAACATCAGTGTATTGTGTAAAATGTACAGTTCAGAGGTCATTCTTAAAATCAAGAATGTGGTTTTTTAATGTGTTCTCATATTGGGGATTATGTTAATTCAATCGGGAATGTTGACATTTATTCAGAGAAAAATTCAATGAGCATTTCCTTTGCACCAACAGTATATAAATCGTGACAAAAATAGCTTGGATCATTGTCAATATGGGGCCTGATTAGCATTTTCTAGGTTTATGCAATTCATACTTTACATCATATGGAGCTATTTTTTTGTGGTTGCTTTTCTTAAAGGGGCACCTTCCAGTTAGGCTTAATTTCACAACAAATTTACTTTCTGGATTAAAATAACAATGGATAACAAAAGATAGATTAACATTGTAAACAACATAAACAATAGTGTCCCATGATTCTTTGGTGCAATCCCTGGGATTGAGCGGTTCCCCTTTAAATTACCTTTTTGTTTTGTACTTGACATACCATTGTCTCATTATTACCAGATACCCACGCCTACACAGTCTGGTCATTCGTACATATCTATTGGTACGCCAGTATGCCGCGGCACTAATGTCACTCTGTGGTATAGAAGGCGTGAAGCAAGACACATCAACAGAAACATTTAATATGGTGGAAGAGTTGGTCAAGTGTCCCATGCAAAATAAAAACGGCAAAGGAATCATGGTATTGATTCGAATACCATCAATTCAGTTAGCGTTGTTAGCACATGAAAGATTACGATCTGCACGAGATAAGTTGGGATTGCAGTTTCGTTTTGATGTTCTGTTGAGTTCGATGACGACTGAGTTTACCCTTGATGATCATTTTCTTAGTAGATTACAGGTAAGGAAACCAGTTGTGTTTACCCACTAAGTCATAAAGTTGACCTATCAGATCAAAGGACGTTGTTGCAGGCCAAATCCTGCAAGAAAACATCATGGCAGAAAATGCTTTTCATCAAGAGTTTGTGTATGGTCAAATACATTTGTCAGTGGAGATAATGATGAAGATTTTGACTTAACAATCTCTAATACGTTTAACCTTGTAAATTCTGGTAGTACATGTACGTAATTAATATGGTAAGAAAATGTGCATATTTCATGACCAATGACGACGCAACTAATTATTATTTATTTTCCCCCAAAATACGCAATATTTGCCTCAATCTGTTACATGGTGAACTAAATTGTCATTTGCACATATTTTCAAGGTACGCGCCCTTGGTTCAATATTTTATGCATATATTATATTTTTTCATGAATTCCTTGTTAATTTTGGCCAAATGGATATAATTTTCTGTTAGTGACAGATGTCGAATGCTGTTTTGTTAAAATTGATGTGGGGTTATTTTTTTTTGAAAGTGACGAAAATTGACCTTTGCTTAAAAA